TCTCGTTCTCACACACACACGCACACACACACACTCTCTCTCTCTCGCTCTCTCTCTCGTTCTCACACACACACACACACACACATAGAGCAGACAGAAGGGTGTGTGTGTGAGATGAGGCTCAGAACGTGATCTGACTCAGCAGCTGAAGCGTCCTGCAGCTCATGCTAATGAACTCATCTGAAGGACACACACTGTTGCCTTCAGCATCTACAGCAGCACTTCTCTGTTTAAAGCAACAGTTCACCCCAAAAACGAACATTCTGTCATTATTTACACACCCGTGTGCAAGTCTTTTGGAAAATAAATAAGGAAATTATGCAATTCATTGGACAGAATTCCAGCCAAATAGCTATTCTTAAATATAATATACTATAATTACAATTATTAATAATATAAATAAGCTTAAAAAACATTATACATTTTATAAGAATGTAAAATAATTCAATAAATATACAATTATATTTCACTGTTATAAATATACTTCATTTTAAAGATATAATAAACATATATAATTAAGAATATAAATAAGCTTTACAAATGTTATAAATTTTATTATAATAGAATTATATAAATATATTTATATGTCATTGTTATCTGTCTAAATATATTTAATTTTAAATATATATAATATACTTATAAAATTATGAATAATATAAATAAACTATATAAATGCTATGCACTTTATAATATTAAATAATTATGTAAATATATAATTACATTCACTATTATCTGTTTAAATATAATACAATAAAATTAATTTAATATATAAATACAATAAACTAATATAATTATTAATAATATAAATAAGCTTTATAAATGTTAAACATTATACAGTATATATAATTTAGGTGTTATCATCTAAATTATGCAATTCATTGGACAGCATTCCAGCTAAATATAATATAATAATCTTTATAAATGTTATACATTTTATAATAATTATATAAATATATATTAATATAAATTATTACCTAAAAATATGAGTTAGGGTTAAAAATGTGATACTGTATTTTTTTAATCATTTCGTAATTAAATAAGTATAATATTACTATAATAAAAAATTAAGCAAGTAAATAATGTGAATAATTATATAAGTCAGTGAGTAAATAATGACTGCTTTCATTTTTGGGGAACTATTTCTTTCAATTTACTGACTTGATGAATAGATGCATGAATGAATGAACGGACAATGAGGATTAATGAAACTATAAGCAAGGGTGTCTTGAATTGGGTAGGGATTCTGAACGGCCAGGGATCCGTTTACACACAGGGCACAGAGAGACAGAGCCGTGCAGACACACGAAACGCAAACACACAGACAGAGACAGAAAGAACAAATGCATGAGGTGACTACACTCAACATTTAGTGGAAGAATAAAACGACAGATCACAGTGAAATATGCCTCCAAACACACACTATCATACTACGCATACTAGTTTGGCTGTATGCAGCATGTATGCAGTACACAGTGTGCAAATGTTCAGTATGCATAGAATTTATGGATTTCCCAACACTGTGTCTCATTATGAAACAATGTTATTGTTGTTAATTAAAACTAAAACCATTAAAAAAAATCATTATTTGAAATAAACATAATTCATTTCAGCTAGTTGCCAAGGCAACTTTTCATTGAATTTAACTTGATTTATTAAAATAACTTAAGGACAACCAAAGGAAAATAAAATAACTATATAAACCTATTTTAATATGTTAATATTAAGATTATATTTTTTATTAAAATATTTTTTAATATTTAATAATTAATTGCATACTAATTAATAATAATAATAATAATTGTAATACTTTTAAATTCATTTTGAACAAAAACTAACTAAATAAAACGTAACATAAATGACAAAAAACAACAAATTACAAAAAATTAAAATGGAAAATCAAAAAATAATTAATTCATATTCAAATGAATGAAAACTATAATAGTATCTCAGTGTTATTTTAGTATCATTTAAATACTATTATTATTTTTCTTAATAGCTTGAATTAGTTTTTATTTTTTCTGTTTTAATTTAAATTTTTGTTTCAGTAATTTAGTAAAAGTTTTTGTAATTTTGTTTAGTGTCTTTGTTCATTTTTATTCATTTTCTTCATGTCTATATAGTTTTCATTTTTTTAATTACAGTTTGAGTTATTTTAGTACATCAAGTTAAACTATATCAATATGAGAAATGTTTCCTTGCAAGTAGCTAAAATAAATTAAGTTTTTAAATATTCTATTTCAGTTAACATTTATTTTATTTCAAGTTTTTCAACAATTGTTTTTTTATGGTTTTAGTTTTAGTTAACTACCATAACCATGATCTCAATTATACTTTTTCCAGTTTGATGGATGAACCTAAAGTAATAATAATTTTGATATTTAATATCATCTCCTTTTTGACTCATTCATTGATTGGGCTGCAAAAAGTTTAAGATAATTTTACACAAAATTTAAAATGAAAAGATTAAAGATGCAGCACTTTCATGGTAATGTGTTTTGGTCATGTGACCAAAGCATAGCCTAATACTATATGAAACGTACTGCATACTGCACACTGCTGCACGTACTCTTTTAATATGTAATGTTGAGTAAGAAGAAGCTAGTTTTCCATACTCCTAACCCAATGTGGAAAGCATTACCAGGAATCATGAATTTGTCCATCAGGGTGAAAAACTACACATGAAGGTGAGCTACTGGATTTTAAGACCAACGAAACATGACTCTAATAAAACCCTAAAAACTACAGTCTACAGCAGGATTTCCCAACCGAGGGTTTGTGAGATTGTAATAGAAATGCCAATGTCAAGTTAAATTCAAATGGAGTCTTTATAATGTGATATTATGACTATATTTGATGTGTATGAGGAGGTTGGGACGTCCTGCTCTCAGGTGTTCAGATCCGTTCACTTACGCCACTGCAGGAGCTGAGCTTCCTCCGCTGGAGCACCGGAGAATAAACCCAATATCTGCCTTCAGCGTACTGACACACACACACACACACACACACACAGACCACACACACACACACACACACACACACACACACACAGACAGACAGACAGACAGGAGGGAAATGAGGATGAGTAAATAAAGGAGACAGACAGGAAGGAAGAGAGACAGGGAACAGATCATGATGATGCTGATGAATGAAACTGATTTAAGTTGACATGAAATCAATCTATTTGTACTTTCTTAAAGGGATAGTTCACCCAAAAATGAAGATTTGCTGTTAATTTACTCTCCCTCGGGCCATCCAAGATGTAGACTTTTTTTCTTCAGTAGAACAGTAAAGAAGCATTTTAGCTGAAACTGTAGTCCTTGCTGATTCATAAAATGCAAGGCAATGGCTACTGTCACTTTTAGAGTCAAAAACACATATACAGGCAAGACAAACTTAATACCCGGCGCTCCTGACGATATATTGAGTTCTTATGAAGCGAAATGATCAGTCTGTGCAAGAAATTGAACATCATTTACAACATTATTACCTGTAATCCACAGCCTCAGGCAAACGGTCCAGAGTGATGTCCGGTTCATGAACGAATCATTCTTTTGAATCGGTTCTTTTCAGTGAACTAGATGAACAAGTTCAGCAAATCATCTGATTCGCGGCTTGAGCAGCACAGATCTACTCAATCAGAACTCACTTTCAGACGCCTGACAGTCACTCCGACTGGAAATGAGCCGAAATAGCGGCGTATCTGATCCTGTGATGAATGAACTGATTCAGCGCTCCAGTTCCTCCAGCAGTCACTGAACTGAGGAAACAGTTCGACTCGGACCGAAGACCGATGAGCCGCTGATATGAGCAAGCGTGAACCCAACACTTGAATGAAGGGGCCAAATTAATGAAGGTTTCTGTATTAAGGTGAGCTGATGAAGACTAGTTTATTCACTTTATATGTTAAAAACATCCACGTTTCACATCATTATTGGGTGATTGATTACGTAAACAAACTAGTAAACTGAACGAGTTCATTGAAACGAACTGTCCGAAAGAATCAGTTCGCTGAAAAGAATCATATTTCCGTTTGCCTGAGGCTGTGGATTACAGGTAATAATGTTGTAAATTATGTTCAGTTTCTTGCACAGACTGACCGTTTCGCTTCATAAGACCTCAATATATCGTCAGGAGCCACGGCTGTTAATTATTGCCTGTATATGTGTTTTTGACTCTAAAAGTGACAGTAGCCATTGCCTTGCATTTTATGAATCAGCAAGGACTACAGTTTCAGCTAAAAATCTTCTTTACTGTTCTACTGAAGAAAAAAGTCTACATCTTGGATGGCCTGAGGGAGAGTAAATTAACAGAAAATCTTCATTTTTGGGTGAACTATCCCTTTAAATCTTGTTTTTATTTTGAACCATTCATCAGTGCACATTATTGTAAAGAGAAACAACATCTTTATCATAATGTAATGATTTGCTTTTCCTTTTCAGCTCTTATTTTAAAACCACCCTCATATAGAGACAGTTCACAATCAATTTCTGATGGATGAAATCAGTTCTGCTCCCTTGTTTCTTACTGAATGTCCTTTTCACTCATAAATACATCACATTAAAGTCAAACTGGTTGCAAGTACTATTTCATGTTGACTTTAAAGCTTTAAAGAAGTGTACAGAATATTGCAAAAAATAAATATGACCAGCACTGAAAACAAGAAATATGTAAATGTAAAATCAAAGAGAGAAACTAAAAAAAAAGGAGTGGTGATTATTATTTTATAAATTTTACAGAGACTGCACTCACTAACAGAAGGTGCAATATTAAATATTGTATTATTAATTTAACATGATATATTTCATATTAAATATATACTATAATTACAATATATTGTATAATAATATTTAATTTGCTCTGCATTACAAATAATGTTCACTTCATAAATTACCATGGCTTTAATGGATAATAACCTACATATGTAAACTGTTTATATTATATTTAAAGATTAAAAATAAATTGTTATAAATAATTTTTTAGAGACTGCACTCACTAAGAGCAGGCACAATATTAAATATTATATTCTTAATTTTAAAATATTTAATATATTATAAATTATATCATACATACTGTATACAATATTAAAAAATTATATTATTATGATATATATTATAATAATATTTAATTTGCTTGGCCTAACAACTATCTTTCACTATATACATTTTCATGGCTATGATGGAGAACTTATATTATTTATATATAACTCATACATTCATATTACATACAGAGGCACTTTAGAGAGGTGATTAAAGATTACACAAAAAGTGTTATAAATCATTTTATAGAGACCTCACTCATATATACATATAAATATATAATATTAACATATTATATTATTATTAATATATTATTACATATTCGCTCAGCCTAACAAGTAACTTTCAATTTGTAAATGACCATGACTTTAATGGATAACTTAAATATGTAAATGCTAAATCAAAAGCAGAGAAACACACACACACACACACATCAGGACTGACACTTTCTGTGTCTCAGGCTAAAATCCTCACGGCACCAAAACATTTGTGTCCAAACCAGCCTGACGAGACATAAAACCAGGTCACACTGAGCAGCACTTTCATGTTCTGTGTCAGACACAAACTGATCATCACAGGAAGCGTGTCAGGTCATGCGGTTCAGACACAGTCTGTGATAACTTCAAGAATATCAGTTTAGAAGAGCTTCACCTGAGAGCTTTAAAGCCTTGATGATGAAGGAGAGACTGTGACACTCAGAGAGAGACATAAAGATATACATGCACACACACACACACACACGTGTGTTACCTTCATAACTCAACTAGATCATCCAGACCGGCGCTCTGTGGAACATGTAACTCATATTTAGCCCCACACCACACAAAGTCACCAAAATTAGGTGTGTTTAAAATATGGACAATAAATACAGGGTTTCCACCTTCCGTGCAATGCATTTCCATGACACTTCCTAGACATTCAGTTGTGATTGTTGGATGAAATAATAATATTAAAAAATTATAAAATTTTAATAATTATTTTATAGAGACTGCACTCACTAAGAGCAGATTCTGTAATATTAAATATTATATTATTATGATATTATATATTTGCTGAGCATAACTACTAACTTTCACAATATACATTTCCATGGTTTTAAGATTTTATTTGTTGTTATTGTTAACTATTAAAAAGAATTTTTGTTAACTGAAATGAAGCTGAAATAAATATATAAGTAAAATATAAGTAAATAAAAAATAGATATATTATAAGTTAAAAACTTAAACTAAATTTAAAATGTTGCCTAATTTTGTTTTAAGTTTTTAAAAAGTTTTTAAAAAATAAAAAATGAAAAAATAAAAATGTAAAAACCTAAAATTTTCTTTAGTTTCTTTTTTAACTTGTTGCCCAATTTTAATTTTATAGAGACTGCACTCATTAAGAGCAGGTTCTATAATATAAAATATTATATTAATTCGATATATTATTATATATTCTGAGCATAACTGGTAATTTTTACTATATATATTTCCATTGCTTTAAGATTTTATCCATTTTATTCAGCTGTGTTGTTATTGTTAGCTAAAACTAGAACTATTAAAAACTTTTCATTAACTGAAATAAAGCTGAAATAAAATGTAATAGAAATAGAAAAACCTAAACGAAAAGAAAGTACAAAAAAGACTAAATTTAAAACTCAAATAAATAGAAAGATAAAATATTATATATATATATATATATATATATACATATACATACATACATACACATATATACATACAAGATGTTATAGTAATAAATATAAAATATTTTTTTTAAATAAAGTAATAATAAAATGTAGACATAATACCAAAATAACACTGTTATTCACTTTTCAAGCACAATTTTTAAATTCCATATTTATTTTTGTGATTGTGGGAACCCTGTATGTAACGCTTCATAAATTCAGCATGAAATTAATATGACAGCATTATGCATCCGCCACCAAAACAGTACCTGAACACATCACAGCTGATAATCCATGAATAATGGCTGAACAGCACTTTGGAAAG